ATATTGTCAGAACTGTCATTTCGTGTGTGTGTGTTTACCATTTTGATAATTATACAACTTTACTAGTGTCTATTCAGACCATGCATATACATTCATTCAGTCTGATTGTACCAGATGGCGTAACTATAGTATTAGTTAGATGTTCATCTCAGATCTTCAGGCACTCTGGATATTTTGACTTGTCCACCTGCACCTACAAATTGTCTTAAAGAAATTGAAAAACCAGGACTGGGAGACATGATAGGGTAGCCTACTTTAGCACTTGTAACACTGCAGAATGCGAAGGGCTAACTTAATACACCGTCAAATAAAAATTCCAGGTAGGGGAGTGCACACGTTAAAACAAACGTTGGATGCTCGTCAATGCCATATAAAAGTTTCTTGGTGGTTGTAACCAGGGCCGAAGTCAGAAATTAATTTCAAACTCGTTATTGTACTCCATAGCCCTCCCAATTATTATTTTTTTTTTTGGGGGGGGCAAACCCCCTGAATAGGATGCCCATGTAACACAATACACATCCTTTAAGAAGAAAACTGGAGACACCAGTTCACCTAACTCTGCATGACTAAGAATGCAAATATATTTCATTTATTTCGAAAAAGTGATAGGTAAAAGCCTAGAATGTTCTATAAAATACTGCAAACGCATAAGGTTCTAGGGAAATCATTTAAATGAAAACTCTGATCTTAGTCTATTTGTATATTTTTAGAACACGTGTTGCTATTGTTTTCTCTACTAAAAAAAGCGCGCTTTTTTAAGAGTTATCGTACGTTCTTACGTTATGACGTAACCGATGACTGGCACGCAGTCACGCGTGTGGTGAGTTCCTGCGCTGAATTCAAAAGTGCAGGAGTAGATCACGGTTTGTTTACCAAATTCTACTTTTGAAATTACTATATTTAGAATGTCAGATTTAAATGCTATTTCGGCTTTTAAAAGTGAAGTTGCGTCTATTTTGGACGCATTGGTTAAGGTTGCTACGGTAGACATTATCAAACTTTTCGAGGGTCGTTTCATAATATCTCATGGTGGTGGTCTAGCGAGTAATCCGTCTCCTTGCGAAGACGCAGAGACAGAGTGTGACTGGAGGGAAGTCGGAGGAAGGAGTAACCGCACTGTGGCCGTGCAGGTCGGAGGATCGGAAAGAATGGAAAACGCCCTGGGTATGTTACACGCGTGTCCGCAGAAATAAAACAAGTAGTAAAGTTTTATATCTGCTTTAAAAAATCATCTTTATGAGTTTTGCATCTTATGTAAGACTATGTATTTTAAGCATTTGAAATAAAATCTGAAAAATCCCGTTTTTAGGGTGATTTTACCATTACAAGTCCTTTTACGTTTAAACGTTAACCGGAAGTATATCAAACGGAGTTGTTTTTGTTTTTATCATCATTGTTGTTCTTTTTGTTGATAATAATAACCATAATATGAATATCACTCGTACATTCCCAAATTTGGGCATTTTAAATTAAATGATCTCCGTTTCATTTCAAAGATAAATACCTATAAATCACATATAAATAATAAAAATTAATTATAAATAATAAAAACCATTTTAAAATGTCTCATTCTGGCAAACTATTTCGTTTTACAAATTCTGCTTCGCACAGTGCATAAGCAGAAGTGTCCCAGTGCTGAAGCTCAAGATGGATTTTTTTTGGAAAACTGTGCCAGTGAGGTACCTCTACCTGGGAACGTTATTGAGATCACTGACTGCGACCAGGATCCAGTTGACATCAAAGTTGAAGTGAGTGAAGCGTTCGCTCTGCAGCTCTGCACACACTGTATTAAGCACCTTTTACTGTACACTGAGGGCCTTTATCACAGTGCCACCTGCCAAGCAAATCTTATGAAACTACTCGGTCTTCGTTTTCATACATGATTTAAAGTCTTGCATGATATTTAAAGAGCATTCGGCTCAGAGTAGCTGTGAATACGAAGAGACTGAGCTTTGTAGCCTGTGTCACTAGTCTTGGTAATATGGTAACCCAGGAATTCAGTCTTCTGGTAAAAGAATCACAAGTTTTTATCAGGTGTGTTTAGAGGAATTTGGTGAAAATCTTGTGCCACAGCTGCAGGGTGGGGGACAGGTGCATGGTGGGACAAAACGATGCAAGACAAAGGACATGAGGGGTGGTGAGTGGCTCAGTGGGCTCTCTGTGCCCGTGACCGGAAGGTTGTTGGTTCGAACCCCGGCCTTAGCAGAACAGTCACATGTCCGTGGGCCGTTGAGCACGGCCCTGACCCCCAGCTCCAGGGGTTCTGCACATTGGCTGACTCTGCATAAGCATCCCAATTGTTCAGTCAAGCTACACCAAAACAACACAAATTATGATTAATTGCTATTAAACACCAATCTAGAAATCAAAGACATAGACTTAATGTGAATCGGTAAGCCATTCCATAGTTGGGGTGCAGCAACAGCAAACGCATGGTGAGATTAGAACTTTAAGAGAAGGTTAAGAGGAACTGATCTCATGATTTAAGAGATTGTGAGGGAGAATGAGGCAATGCCATAAATGATGGCGATCAGAAAGGTACCAAGGGGCAAGGCCGTTCAAAAATCTGTACAGGGTGCTTTTAGGATGATTTTAAAATTCACCCTAAACTTCACCGGTAGCCAGTTAGAAGGAGCTGAAGTAGGCATAATACCAGAGGCACAATGATTGATCGACTTAGTCGACTAAAATCGATTACCTAATTAGTTGCCAACTAATTTAATAGTTGATTAGTTGGTGACATCGTCACATGTGTTTCGCACGTTAACTCGAAATGTTTTGATATTACCACTCAGAGAGAAGTGCGATGGTAGCTTCAAAAACAAAAAAAAAAACGCCAAAGTGACTGATTCATTCCCCCTGTTTGTTGCCATAGTGTGCTACGTTCGAGTGGACAGACCCCTACTCCTTATCGGTCAAGCAGGAGATGGTGGAAGATGAGCGTTGGATCAGTGGTGTACAGGGAAAGGAGGCAAGCAAAGCAGAAGGTAATATCCATCTTCCTAACTTATTATTCTATTCCCCACCATGAAATAATCGACGCCTTATTTATCATTGGTAAAGAAGCCGACCATAAAAGTTGTGAATTCACATAATGGAAATATATCTAGATATTAGCCCAGTGCTCATAAATGAGCTTTTATCGTGTTTGTTGGTGGGAGTGACCGGGCAGAACCAAGCTTTTTATTGTGTCGACCTCATATGAAGTCATCTTCCTGTCTGTGCGACTGAGCTGTTGAGTCTGGATCCCTCTCAGGTTCCCCTGAAATGACCGTTGTTGACCTGGGTGCGTCTGTGTCCATCCTGGGTGAGACCTACGTAATGACCCTGTCGGCAGACGGCCTAGAGGGGAATCGCACGCTTTCCGGGGAAAAGGATGAACCTGGCATGCAGAGCAAAGATGGCAAAGGTCCCCCGCAGCTCACGCCGTACTGGGTAGCCGAAGACCCTCCCAGTGCTTCGTTAGACAGCAGCCATGGCATAGGTTACGTAGCCGGGGTTAGCTATGAGCCGGATCCCACAAAGAAGGTTATTGTCATTCCCATGCCCGATTTAACCAGCCCACATGGAAAAGAGACCGAGACTGAATCCTCTCACACTGCATCCAGCTTGGGCGGCAGTGTTGGAAGCGGAACCTCGGCATGTACCTCATCTTGCTCGAGCAGCCCCGATGTGCTGCAGATGCCTCCAGATCCGGAGGCTGGAAGCGGGATGGGGATGAACTCCTCCGAGCTGCTCAGTCTGTTAAAGCCGTGCTCAGTGCAGTTAGTCAATGTGATGTCAAGCTCAGAAATGGGCACCAAGAGACAGATATCTAAGTGTGGGAAGCAGGGAAATGTGCCGAAAGACCTCCGCGTGCACCAGGGCCTGCACACAGGGAAGAGGCTCTGCTGTTTTACATACTGTGGGAACGGCGTGTGGCGAGTGCACGGCGTCCCGAGCCAGGCGAAGTACTACGAATGCGATAAGTGCAACAAGAAATTCAGGCGCAGGAAGATGCTGAAAAGACACCAGCGCTTCCATACGGGAGAGAGACCGTACTCCTGCCCAAAGTGCCTGAAGAAATTCACGCTGCGCAAGAGCCTCCGACGGCACGAGAGGTTTCACACGGGCGAGAAGCCGCACACGTGTCTCGTCTGCGGGAAAACTTTCCGTCTGCGTGAAAGCCTCAGGTGTCACATCCGCTTCCACACGGGGGAGAGACCCTTCGCTTGCTCGCTGTGCAAGAAACAATTCAGGGTCCTTAGAAATCTTGACAAACACCTGTTTACACACATAGGTGTTAATGTAGACCAAGCCAAGCCTTGTGCAAAAGGAAACGTGATTTAAAATCAGGGATTAAAAAGAAAATTCTTTTTTTTTTTTTTTTTTTTGCTTGCATTGATTTGTCATGAGTGGGAACAATTGACCTAGATATGAATTGTGCTGAAATGATTCATACCGGTTTTACTTTTTCTGTAATTTCTGTTTATGGCATTGCCATTTTAATTGTGCTGACTAGCAGTATAACATTCACTGTACATTTTACAAATGAGATGCAGAGCATTTTTTTGCGTTTGTACACTGAGCACACCAGGCTCTTCCTGGTTTGTCAGAAGTAGCTGCATGTGTGAATAATGCCTGCAGTCATTTCTAGTTCCGGAATAGACCTGTTTGAGTCACATTTTTAGGTTTTGTCTGCGTGCTGATGCTTGGCCAGGAGAGGGAGCTCTAGGACTGACCGGTATCTGTTAAATCTCCTTGTCTTAGTTACATCACTGTTATATCGTTGCCAACAAAGATGTATTTTTTTTTTTATTTGAACAGAACTCTAGTTCTAATGGAGCTCCTGAATGAGTTGCAGATTAAATACGAATAGGCTTACCTCGTCTTTGCTTAAGACCAGTTTTGTCGACAATCATAGCTCATTGTTCGCATGAGCTGTATGACAGCATTACCCAGTTCTGGTGCTAAAGGGCCAGAATCCAACAGGTTGCAGATTTCCCTGCTAAAACACGTCTTGCTTAGCTAATTACCAGTTTTAGTAGGTGCATTTGAACAGGAACATTTGCAGACCGTGTAGGATTCTCGCCCTCCAGGAGTGTAATTGGGGAACCCTGTCCTGTTCAATCTGGCAGTTTGCCTAGCTTTATGTCACCAAAATGATTTTCATTGTTCCTCTGTGCATACTGGGTCATGCAGGCCTGGACAGGGAGTATAATTTAGCCCACGGCAGTTTGCCAACTGGGGAGGAATCCCCTGATAACTTTTGCCGAGTGATGCATTTTGCCGACTGCAGGGATTCCCTCGATAATTTCAAAAATGATTATTATTTTCCCGGCACACACACCCCCATCGGCCCACCGGGAAAATGCCCGATGGCCCAGTTCTCTCTGGTCCATCCTCAGTCCACCACCTGGGCAGTGGTGGCCCTTCTCACAAGGACTTTCATCTGCAGGATGCAAAATGATGACGAGTCAGCAGGTGTGTGTTAAAGCAGTGCGTGTATTACCTCGGCCATGAGGCGCTGCACACGGTCAGTGTGGGCCGTCTACCGAAAACCACAAAGTACTGAATGATGGATATGTGATTTTGGGGTGGAAGTGGCGGTTGGAAGTATCGGTATTTCTGTCCTGTTAGGACTAACACGCTTACGGAGCTGCATTTTCTTCCAAGTGCCTGGATAAAACTGAGAACACTGAAGAGGAAATCGGCAGTCAGCCAATTACACTGAATGATAATGCAGTGCTTTTCACTTTATTGAAAATTGACTTTTTTTATGTTTATTTGGGCAGTTCGCATATTAGAAATGTAGCTTTTATACTTGTTCCAAGCTTATCTCATTTTAGACTTTATTCTGTATGTTGTATACAAGTATGACTTTAACTGAAAGCCTTTTGTATTGCTTAAAACATTGAATAAAAGGAATAAAAACATTAAAGTGTTTGTTGATTTATAAAATACACCCTGTCCTGGTTTCGATAATTATATGAGTGAAATCTGACATCTGTGTCTAGAGTCCCTCAGTAATCTGAAGATAACTCTCAAGCCAGACCAATCGGGTCAGACACTGGTTCCAGTTAAGCTATATGTGCAGCGTCTTCCTGTGAAGAGCCATTGGTGACATGGATTGCGGTTTTGGGAATTCACCTTTCATGCCAGCCTTAATCTGTCATCAGAGCTGCATGTTCCAGCTGTTTTTACTTTCACTGTCGGTTCTTGTGCCTCAGCTTCTACTCAGATAGGTGAGCAGAGAAAACGACACAAAAAAGGGTCTGACCTATATAAGGCATTGCGTTTGTTTAGTAGACACTTTTATCCAAAGCAACGTACATTAACATTTTGAACCAGCATCCTTCTGATCATACATACAATGTGTCAACCCACAAAACAACACATTACCTTTTGTAAAGGCCAGTAAATGTATTCTACAAGTGAGAAGTTTACATTTGCTGGAATAGAGGTTCCTTATGGGGGTGTTTCAGTATCATCAGCATGACCTGAAACCCAACACCATGATTTGTAATAATGTTACCAAGTGGTAGCATATATCAAGTGAACAGTAGCGGGCCCAGCACTGATCCCTGTGGGACACCATACTTGACTTTGGTGATCTTGGAAGATTCATTGTTCACATGGGCAAACTGATAACGATCAGTTAAATAAGAGCGAAACCAAGGGAGAACTGTCCCCTTAATGCCAACTGCATATTCCAACCGGTCCAAGAGAATAATATGGTCCACAGTATCGAATGCTGCACTTAGGTATAGTAACACCCACAGATATACAGCCACGATCGGAAGCCATAAACATAATCATTTATTACTGTTCCTAGGGCTGTTTCTGTACTATGGTTTGGTCTGAAGCCAGACTGATATAATTCATTAGCATTATTTTTCTGTTGGAATGAAGAAAGCTGATAACTGTTTTCCAGAGTCTTTGAAATAAAAAGGAAGGTTTTAGATAGGTCTATAATTTCATAATTCAATAGGTTCAAGATTTGGTTTCCTTGAGAACAGGTGTAATAATAACTGTTTAAAAAGGTTTTGGAGCATATAAAGCCTAAGAGACAAGTTTAACAAGTTTAACAAGATACCACTACGTCATCTTTTGGTAAATATTTGGGACAGTAAAAGGCATGTTGGCTTTCTGTTCAGCTTTCATTTCAGCGCACAACATCTCGGGCTCACAGCTGAGGAAGGCTAGTGGAGATTCAGCCAAATTGTAAACCATGGCAAAATCACTGGCCGGTCCCCAGCCAAAGACAATGATGGAGATGGGCCTGACCTGCTCAGTCTGTCAGGACATCTTCACTGATCCCCACTTGCTACCCTGTGGACACACCTTCTGTAAAACCTGTCTGTTGGATATGCTGGAGCACATTATGGTGATAGGCTTCCGGTGCCCTGAGTGTAGAGCAGGTTTTGGGTTCTCCATCCCTCTCCTGAAGAACTTTTCCGTGGCCAGTATTGCCGAGGACTTCAGAAAGACCCAACACAGAAGGAACAAGCCGGTCAACTGTGACTGCTGCAACCCAGGGAATCAGGCAACAGCTGTAAAGACCTGCCTCACATGTATGCTTTCCATGTGTGAGAAGCACATCAACCCTCACCTGGAGCTCCCCGCCTTCAGAGAACATCACCTCACCGAGCCACTGTGGGACCTGAGGAAGATGAAGTGTCCACAGCATGAGGCGTACAAGTTCTATTGCTCAGCATCACAGACGTATGTGTGCAGGTGGTGTGATATAGAGGCCAAATCCACTAATGAGACAATGAAATTGAAAACCATTAATAAGGACATGATGGTAAGTCTTTGCTGGGCTGTCTGCTTTCACTGAGGGGCGAAGAAGGATTTAGTATTTTGCACATTAGTCGTCTGTAGCTGTCTTCATGATTATGATGTGCAGTGTTTTGTTTTATCTTTCCATCTTTCCTAATAGAGTCAAATAGAAGTCTTGTATTATAATGTCAATATAACCTAAATTTCTGTAATGCTAGAGACGCTGATAACTTTTTGTTTGATTATTTCTGTGTAACCGCAACTTATGTCATCGCAAGCGGAGTCCTGTTTGTAGGCTGCTAATCCGTTTGCCGTGTAGGTTGGGTCGATATCTGTTGGAGGAATCATGTGACTGGCAGAAGCCTGCTGGCATCTAACAGATGATCAAAGTCAGTTTTGACGTAGCATCACAGTATTTCCGCCGCCGAGATACTGGTGCTGTATTATTTCAACAGCTGCACCTAACAGATTTACTTAAAGTAGAAAGAAGTCCAGACAAATTTCTCAAGAACATTATCTTTCAATGTTATCATTCAAATCAGAGTAGTGGTTCATTGATGTCACTGCGGAATATAAGCTATTGTTTCCGCATTTCTTACTGCCAGTATAAATATAAGTAGGCGTGCATGTTTGCCCCAACGTGTATTGATGCGTGTCTGTAACAGCATGTGCACTTATGCCAGGTACTTTTCTGTTAATCATGGCAGGAGTATGTGAAACAGAAGTTGGTGTTTCTGGAAGGGGGGCTGAATGGTTGTGTGACCGGTGTGAGGAATCTGCGGAATATCATACTCAGTAAAGTAAGTTGCCTACATTTACATTCACTTGCAGATGCTTTTTTCGAAAGCGATATACAAGAGCAACTGGGCAGTTAAGGGCCTTACTGAAGGGCCCATGGGTGACATCACTGGTGACTTTCCAGTCCCAGGCACAGTCTCTGAGTCACACACCACTCCTCACACAGTGGTTTTACATTTAAAATGATATTTATCCTCCTAGAGCAGTGTTTCCCAATCCGGTCCTCGGGTACCCACAGACACATTTTTAGGGAGCTTAAAGGGAGCAAAAATGTAGACTTTCTGGCAGGAAGCTCAGAGGGAGCAAAAAGATGGACCGACTGTGGATCCCTGAGGGCCAGATTGGGAGACACTGTGCTAGAACCTGCCTGGCCCCTTTTCAATGCACATCCTCTTCAGGTCAGGTGCCCTTCCACTTTTCATCAGTGATGATGGAAACAAGGTGCTGAAATCTCACTTGTGTGGATATCTCCATACATTACGGGAACTGATTTGAATGAAACTCTAGTAGCAGGTAGATAGAAATAACATTTCTGATTTTGCCAGGTACCTTTTGTAGTTTTCTAGGTTTTGTTGTTCATAAAATATTAGAGAATAGCTTTGCAAGACAGCTTAAAAAACACAAACACACACACACACACGCAAGTTGGTCTTCCTATCTAAATGGGGACTGTCCATTCATTTCTATGAGAAAAACCCTAATCCCAATCACAACACCCTTAACCTCTACTGATCCCTAACCTTAACCATAAGTAACCAATCCAAATACAAGACTTTTGGCATTTTTACTTTTTTGATTGCATTCACAGATTTTTATAAAACTGAGGTTATCCACATGGGGACCTCAAAAAATGTCCCCAAAAGTAGGAAAATTTCAGGTTTTACTGCACTTTGGGGACAATTCGGTTCTCAAATGTGATCTATGCAAACCCACACAACACACACACACACACACACACCATCACACAGACACATTACAAGGCACACCTCAATTCTGTGCATTGACCATCCTTAACTCCTGCTGATCTGGGTGGTGTGACTGGAATCACATCTAGCCCATTCCTTCTTGCAAAAAGAGGAAATGTGAATCACCATTGCACTGGCATGAAAACCAGACGCAAAAATAACCATGGATAGGATATGAGGTCTGTGTAGATCCCAGGCGATGATGGGTTGACTCACAGGTAGAGCTTAGTGACATTTCACTTTCACTTTTCACGCACAGGCAGAGGATCAGCAATATTTTGGTTGGAGGACAGTCGGATTACTGCTGCTTGGAATTATCCTCGCCTACTTGGGTATGTCCAGTACTACCCTTTCTTACCATATTGTAGTGTGTTGAAATACTTCTAGGTCACAAAGATGAGAGGTTAATTTGGTAGGTTGGCATAATATGCAAACAGTGATCAATGGAAAATTGCAGATAGAGTTTATTACACTGTACGTGATTTTACCTTTTGCTACCCTGTGCCTGCAGCCTCCACCATAAGCTCCAGTCCCCCACATCCCTGCATAGGACAACCGGGTATGGAAAACAGATTGATGGACGGATGGATGATTTTGCCTATCGACTAGATTGTATTTATTTTACAATTTACAGTGATCCTCAAATTTATACTTTTCTCCAAATTTCCAACCTGTTCATTCCCCTTCAAAAGAAATCGAGGAGGTTAACAGCTCCCTGAGGAAGCACGACAGACTGCTGGCTCAAATATACTACAGGCTCAACGGTTAGTAATCTTACATTGTCTGGTATCATCAGATAGTCACACTTTAACATCAAAGTTTGTGTCTTGCCTGCATTTTTATGCTTTTGAGTGTGAGGATCTGTGACTGCTGTAAAGACGCAACTCTGCCTGTTTTCCAGGAAATGCGTTGGATCCCAACTCAGCCAGCCCATTCCTCAGGATCTCAGACGACTTTATGTCTGTCGAGCGGCAAAATGACCAGCTGCCTGTGACCCCACACCCCCACCGATTTGACAGATCACCCCAGGTGCTGACCTCTCAGTGTGTCTCCGGAGGTGTCCACTACTGGGAGGTGGAGGCCGAGGGTTACTGGGATATCGCAGTTTCCTACTCCAGCATCGAAAGGAAGAACAAGACTCGCTGCACGTTTGGCATGAACAGGGAGTCATGGAGCCTCACACAAAACAAAAACAAGCAACTGTTTGCTTTTCACAGTGGGGTGAAGGTAGATCTGCACAATAAGGTCCTGTCACAAAACAGGGTGATCATTGCCGTTGACTACGAGGAAGGTGCCATTGTCTTCTGGGATGCAAAGAAGCTCCATAAGCCCCTTTACAATTTCACAGGCAGGTTTACTGAACCAATATGCCTTGGATTTGGCCTGTACCTGATGGATCCTCCAACCAGAATCACAATCAGGAATACTTAGATACAATGCAACATGTTTTTAAAAGACATTCTACTTCTGAATTTGACATGAGGATCTTGTACTACAAAATTGCCCTACAGCAGGAAAGGTTTGAAAGCAATAGATGTAATCTTTGACATATTATCAAAAATGACATATTTTTGTGTTTTGAACTTTTCTAGTGGGCTAGTTCATTCTAGGGTGTACGGAACCTTAAAGTTCATTCTGAAAATATGTCATAGAGAACACTGCAGCCCTAACTGAACGAACCTTTTCCAAACTTGGGTGTTTCATACTGAATCCAAAATTAAACCAGAATCCTTATGTTACCTTAGCTGATACACTGGGCTATACAGTCGGCCCTCCTTATCCACGGGGTTCCACAACCACGGATTCAATCAACTGCGGATCGAAAATATTCTAAAGGAAAAAAAATCCAGAAAGCTTCATATAGCAAACCTTGAATTTGCCCTGTGCAGAGCACTGCGCTGAATCCACGCAAATGAAGCCACGTGTAGCCCATTTCTGTACTGAACATGTGTTTCCTTGTCATTATTCCCTATACAGTATATCAACTGTTTACATAGCATTTACATCGTATGAGGTATAAGTAATCTAGAGAAGATGTATAGGTTATATGCAAATACCAGAGGTACACAGCGACTAAACCAAGTATAATCGTCACCCCCCCCTCCCTTTAATCAGGGGATATTCAGCAATCAGAAACTAAAAAAAATGTTTTGGAAATCTGAAGATTGACGGGATTAATCTTACATCCCAATGATAATGACGCGACGTTCATTTGCTGATGTTAAGATTTGTGCAATTTGCCCGGGAAACATGAATTACTACTAATCAACAGTAATTACATAACTATACTACATATAGTTATGCAGGTGAAATGTTTTTTCCCCCCCCAATATTTTGACTTTTGTAACAGAAGGAATTAACACACACAGCTAAAAACAAGTCATGTACTAGGTTAGGGGTTTGGGTTTGTTTAGGGGTCTGAAAGAAAGGTGCACGACACCGACGCCTACCCCCCCTCCCCCATGCGAGTTTCCCCAGAGTGACAGCCGGGAAAGGTCAGCTCTCAGCCCACTGCCTGGTGTGCGCTAGCTTGGTGGGTTAGCTATAGAATATCGCGATCTCTTTTCAATAATTTGTAGGAAATGACATGACTAGATTGGAACACAGGATTGTGATTTCACTAACAGAATGGACACTCATCTTGTGACTCACACCATTGTGAAAGGCTAATCTGAAGAAACAGACGTGTCAGTCATGGAGCCGATTTCTGTTTGCACTGCGTTATCCGTGCATTTCCGAATGATGTATTTGGGTTGCATCCCTAACAATTACTATGCAATGTTGTAGAAGGGACTTGAGCATCAGTGGATTTTGGTAGTTGCAGGGGGTCCCAGAACCGGTCACAGATACAGGGAGCCAGCAGTATGTTTGGGTCCAGATTCAAAACAGTAGCTGGAACCAAGTGTGGGGCCATAAGGTGCATGACAAAAAAAATTAAAAAAAATAAAAAATACAACCATGCTTTTTTCCCCTTTTTATTACAAAAACAAAAAACAGGATATGATAGAAACAGTCCAACTTGTACTGACATAGGAGGAACAAGGAGACGGGCTCATCTGTGTGCACCTCTACCTGCAGGAACAAAGTCATCCTCTGCGACTGGACACAGTCCAGATTGCTTTTTTTTGTCCTGGTCAAAACGTGTGGTTTTTCCAGTTTAGGAATACCAAACGCAGTAAGGGCTGTGAATTAACACAAAGTTTTCCCAAAAAGCCTGAAAAAGGCACAAGGGAGGGGACCGAAGTGGGTGGGAACTAAGATTTTTTAACATCCTGCTTGAGAGAGAGAGAGAGAGAAAAAAAAAAGACATTGCGGAGAGAGTCAGAACGGAAAAATACAACAGCCCAGCTGGAGACGATGTCAACTGGCCCCCACACACACACACACACACACAGACACACACACAGACACACACAGTATGCCTTCCTGATCTCCTGAAAACAAAACTTGATGCTAAAGAATGAATCTCTGACAACTATGCAACCACTCAACTCTATATCATGGGGCCGGGACAGGGACAAATGAGGAATAAAATAAGAGCAATGGAGAAAGATGGAATTCCACCACATTTTGTAAGCATCTTAATGACATCGTAAAATTTACCAAGTGCGTATCCTAGGGCAGGATTACACGTTTTAAGGATTCCTCAAATTTGTGTTGTATATATACAGATTCCATTTGATGTAGCCTCCTGGGGGTCTTAGCGCCTCCTCTTCTTCTTACTGCTGGGGGGTGGAGCGGTCGATCGTCCTTTCCTCTTCCTGTTCGTTGTCTCAACCACCTCTTCATAATTGGACTCTCGGTCAGCTGAGAGGAACACAGGTTAAAAAACTTCCTACACGCCGGACAAGGACCAAATACTGTTTAGATCTGCTGCAAGCCTGAAGGCCTCACAGATTTAAATCGACATGCTCACCTTTCCTGGCCTCCTCCTCCAGCTCATCCCAGTCCTTCCCACTCTCTTCTTCACTGCCCAGAGATGCATTGTAGTCTGGAAGTGGAGGAGATGTCAGGAATGCACTTCCATATGTATATTTACACAATTAAAAAAAATGCATGATTACAGTAAGAGGACACTATACTTACCAGAATCCTCAGTCTCGGAGGAATAGTCTTCATCACTGTCTTCTTCCTCCTCTGCATCCTCATCCGCCGAGGGATTGAATGTCTCATCCTCCATCTCCGATTCAGAGTCTTCACCTTCCTCCCCACTCCCCTGGGATTAGGGATGAACCATTTTCATATGCTCAAGTCACAATCCAAGGCACCGTTATCCACACTAAAGCTGAATTCCTCAGTGCCTTCAGGAACAGATGTGACTCACCTCACTTTCAGGATCTAAGAACGACCAGCCGCCCTGCTCAAAAAAGCCCTCAGGGTCATCGACGATGGTCTTCATGATCTTCGTCCAGTTCAGTGACTGGACACCCTCAGTGTACTTGATATCGCATGAACTGTGAACGGAGGGGGTGATGATATTTACTAAAAACCCAAGTGAGCCAATGACTACCAAGGCTCTGAATAGCCATTAAAACATTTATTCGCAGATTACTGCTACAAAGCACTATGTCTATACAGCCCCAGAAAAAGACAACCAAAATGAACCCTAAAATCGCCTTAACATGATCACCGAGTACCTTACTGCATGAAATTTTTTGGCAATAGCCTTACTTGAGCCACTCCTTTATTGGGTCCAGTGAATTGACAGGTACGGCGTTGATCATTGTGACCTTCTTACTGTAGTCCTTGTAGACAATTACCACGTCAAAGTTCTTCAGGTGGAACTGCACTCGCTCAAAATGCACCAGCTCCACCTCATCCAGAGTAACAACAAACGGGGGCTGAAAGAACAGGAAAAGCTTCTCAACAACTGCCAGACGGCACGCGTCTCCCCCTACTGGCCACTTTCGGTACTGAACAATAAAACCTGACGCTTAACATTTGACTTTTTTGATGTTTACGGCCACTTGACCAACTGCTATTCACTGCAAATGTGCAGATAATCAGAAGTATGGTTAACAGTGTCGGGTGAGTGGCTTCAATGAGAAGAACAGAAAGACACCTAGGAAACAGCGATCTATTTTCTAGCCCGTTACACTCACCCATTCTGTTACGTTAGACAGGGCGCTGGAGGTGGGCTGCAGTAGACAAGTGCTCCTGTAGGGGGCACCCTGGAACCTACACACACAGAAAAAGGGATTAATACCCAAAGTCAAATACCGTCCAACCAGCCAACTGGCTGTATCTACCAATAAACCTACTGCATCATCCAAACTTAGCCCAACACCTCAAGGTTGCTCCTTCATTTCCTTCTCCTCACTCACCCCAGGTCTCTAAAGGGCACCTCAAACTCCAGGTCCTCCTTGGTGAGGTTCTCCACCTTCTCAATGAAGTTCTTGAAGGCAGACTTGAGCTTGTGCCTCATCTCCCGCTCCATCTGCTCGGCGTAGAGGTCGTCGCGGTCGTGCATGTGCTGGTGCTTGCCCAGGTCCGTAGTGATCTCGCCCACCTCCGTGTAGAACTGCACGTCCGTGTGACGCTTCTTCCCAAACATGATAGCATTCTTGCAGATTTAAAGAGAGGGGAAAAAATGGAGAAGGATTGGAGTCAAACACCTGAAGTCAAAAACGGGGTACCAGACATGCATAAATGGCCAAACCAGATACCTTGAGATGGAAGTGCAAGACTATGATCATCTCCCCATCACAGGGCTGGAAAATGGCATGTTTGATGTTGTTGTACAGGATGTCTACCTTGTCCCCACGCACAGAGGTGAACCGAAACCCTATGAAAAAGACAACAGTTCACTCACAACCGCCCCCCCTGCCCCAACAAGCATAAGCATCCTACTATGCCAGCCTTACCATTGGTGTGTGCCTCCAAGGAACCCTGCATCCGCTTCTGGGCGATGTTGGGCCGGATGTAGAGGTCCTTAAGCTTGGGGTTACTGCGGTTGAGGTTGATGACCAGCGAGTCCTGCTTGACAATGCCCTCTTTTTCCTTCTCTTCGGCCTCCCGGGTCTTGTAGCGCTTCTGCACCTCCTTGATGATGCGGAAGGCATTCTGCAGGTTGGTGGAGGGCACCAATGGGTCGCCAGGTGTCTTCAGGTTCGAGGCCCGATATGTTCTGGGCAGCAGGGATGGGAGCAGGTTTGAAACACACACACAAAAAAAAAGCTTAAGTACAAAAACATACACACCAGAACATGGTCAGTGTTGAGCAGGAACAGGATACCCTGATCCTGGGGCGCCGGTGTCCTGCAGGTTTTCTAACCTACCTGGTCACCGGTGAACCACACCTGATCTCAGGCAGATAGTAACTCATCAGGTAGGATAGAAAAATCTGCTGGATACCGGAACTCCAGGACCAGGGTTCCTGGTTCCTGGTCCTGATGCTCCTGCATCCGAGCTTCACTCACATCTCCTTTACAAAGGTGGCGTCAGGATTTGGAAAGGTGTTGCCTTCATGGCGACCGAGGGAGCTGCCAGGGACGTAGAAGTTGATCCTCAGGTACGTGTAGTCTCCTTCCACAGACATGCTGATATTCTAGGGAGGCACGTGCGGAACAATCAAGGATGGGTGACAAATACACGGAGGTCTCCTTCTCAGGGATCTGCTGAAGCAGTCGCCACGAACAGACACTGGTTATGGTGGTCATGCATGAAGACGACAGAGCAGCCAGCTTACCTTGATGGTTGCAATATGGAAGGGAGTGGGGATGCCAAAGACCGGCATGATCACGGTCTCGTATTTCTTATCGATATAGAGCTTCATCTCTCGAATCTCTCGCTCCCGTGGCATCTGAGAGATGTTCTTATAAGACACGTTCGATTTCCGTGCCCTGGAGCAGATTAATGAGAGGGGTACCGTCTTAATATGGGAAATACCGATGCAGCCGCAATAATGTACGATCTCTGTTCAGTTCTATACTCACTTCTGGATCATTTGCTCCCCCTTCTGCTCTGTCAGACGTCGTTTGGCCTCCTCGTTCATCTGACTGGCCAGCTCTTTCTGATGGGTCCGCCTCTTTTCCTCCGCTGTCATTTCATTCTGGCCAATCACAAAGTCACGTCAGGAAAAAAAAAAAAAAGTAAAAAAAAAAAGGCACTCGGCCCACCAGGACGCCGCATGCGAACTCCCACCGACCCGAGTTCTGTCAGTGAGCAGAGACGCCCTGGCTCCCCTGCCGAGGAGCTCATCTGCGTCGTCTACGTCTTCCTCGTCCTCCTCTTCATCCTCATTCTAAGAGAGGCAAAGATCTAGTCACCATTAAAGTTTGTCATCCTGCCTGAGTATATAGGGCTAGATTGCAAAGCTACCTTAAAAACAGCGATATCTATCCAGAAAGGGGAAGGTGGCTAACAGATCAGATGCATTTGAGAGCCCTCACCTTTAAGAAAATTCCCACATTCTTGATCTTCTTTTTAACTGGGGTGAGAATAGTGGCAGGTTCCTCCTGTTTAGGATAAAGACCAATGCTGAGTGCTAAACATCCACACCAGGACAGCCCAGGGAAAGAATAAAGGGCCAAGTTTGTAGCCTGCGATGGGAACCAACCTCATTAATCTGCACTGTGTCTCCAATGAACAGGGCGTACTTCTTCTGCTCATCCTTCTTGCCCTCTTTGCTGATCAGGTCGGATAACCCCAAGCTTACACTCAGCACCATGCCTGGAATGACATAGCTCTGAAGACCAACGCGATCCACCACTCACCCGAAATACAGTCCCACTGTTACGTACAGTCACAACTCAGAGATGCCAAACATCACAAGAACCATAGCTTTACAGGTCATCACGCAAGAGTCGTGCTTACCACTTCATTAAATAAGCTAGTGTTTTTTTAGCCTTTCCCACGAATGACAGAAATTTTAGCGGCAGTTAACATACTGCTGTGACAAAATGATACAAACCGTCATACTGAACTTCAGCTGCATGATTCTCGCATCCACCAAACTTAACCGAAAGCTCCAGTGTAGCAACCGAATGCTCACAGCTAAAGAAGTAATGATCAAAACGGAACGGTCACATCACAAGCATAACCACTCACCTCTCTTTAACTTATACTGGTTCTTGCTGTTGATGACGAGAGACCCCTCCCGAAACTCTATGCCCATCGCAAACCTGACCGAAGAGAGGACAAGTGACTAAATTTGTACCACTGTATCCTGAAACAGCAATTTTACAGGAAATACTTAAGATGTGCATAAATATGCCCTCCACAAAAGCTGCACAAGACCTACACAAGTGCATCCCATCTGCTAGAGAGAAATGGCACCAATCAGAGCCCAAAGACGCATTCTTCATTTCGCCCTAAATGTACAATTCTTAAGACCTGGAATTTACTGCAGCCAGAATACAGAATTCCCATCCAAGACTTGAGTAGTGTTACTAGGAATAAATACATATAACTTAATTCTATTCACACACACAAAAAAACAATGATAAGACGACACTTTATTGATCCTGAGGGGGAATTCTCTTTCCTCCCACCTCTAGCTCTCCATGACGCACACGTAGATGAGCGTTAGCTTGGCAGCGAAGGGCAGCCACATGCAGCGGCGCCCATGGAGCTGCGGCTTAAGAGCCTCGCTCAAGGGCCCACAGACATGCAACTATTCTGCTGAAGCCAAGCTCAAACCCGCGACCTTCCAATCACTAACCCCAGGTTTTTGGTGAGCTTCGCCACCATGTCCGGCTTCTCCTTCTTCACCATGTCCACCACGGCGTTGAACGCGTCGCCGAACTTCACTCCTACGAACGACAGATAGAGCACACGCTCACCCATGCAGCCAATGAGAAGACTTAACTATCTCCAGTCGCCTACGCCACAAGCCACGCACCATGGCGAAGCTCCTTCAGCAACAGCTCCTCCACCTCCAGGAGGAAGTTGTAGTTGTCCTGCATCTCCTGCGGCGGGTCCACCATCAGTGTGCGCACCAGGTTGGAGCAATACGACTTGTACCTAATCCCCATGGCGCATGTGATAGCCCCGAAGTGCATGTAGTTCTTATCACTGGGACACAAAAAGCAGACAATACAAACAGCATGAATTACCAGAAGAATGCGACAGACCTGGCTGCAGTAGCTAATGCAGAAATCTAAGCATGCTAAAAGGTGTTCAAATGCATAAATATGTGATGTCATAGCTGAAGAAGTCAGACAGAATGGAGTCCTATGAGGAACAGGATGTGATGTCAGCTTCACCTGACCACGCTGAACTTGAGGCTGTAGTTGCCCCCACTCTGGATTATGGGGGGGTAGCACATCTCCACAGTGGATGGGTCGGCACCCCCCAGGTACTTCTTCTCCTCAATGGCCTTCTCCACAGACTCTGCTAGTTTGTTGTGACGTACTTTCTGCGTAGGCAGGGGTGGGTGAGGGAAAACAGGGCGAGCGTCAAGATGACACCGCAAGCGCTATGCGGCAGCAATGCGACACCCATGGCGTTTAAGAACCGGGGCGTATTAACGGCATCCAGCTAACGGCCAAAGCTTTAGTTCACCGACACAAGCGTTCTTCATACCTCATCCGCGTCCACAATCTCCATCACTCTTTCCTTGAAGAACTTGTTGAAGACCTCACTAGTAACGCCGGCAGCCTTCCTCATGAGAGCCAGCTCCCCATCCTCCTTCACCGCCATGGTATAGGCCACCACAGTGCTAATGTCCACCTGCGATGCACACCAGCAACAACTGAGCATGCAATGCACCAACCCACACACACTTAGCAAGTATTAAGGTTCAAAGTTACACAAGACTAAAATGCACCTAATGGACAAATAAGACGCTGAAAATATACCTGTAATTTGTGCTTAAACTTGACGAGAAGAGCTGTGAAGCAACCCGGCCCTAACCCTCGCTTCCCTTGCGTATCTATTTTAGAAATTTCTGCTTCATTTGGCCTTTTGCCCTTCGTCGATTTTTTAAATAGTGACTAACTATGCAATAAGGCATTTTTTTTCCCCAACCACATGCAAACGCCTATCCCGTTTCACAGATGCCACGCAGCCGGACAAACAGACGCGTTTAAGCGCCTATAAATTCAGTGACAAATTTAGTAGGAAAAACTGTATTACGTGTATCGACATAGCTTCAGTTGTCAGCATGGTGCACAAATGGCCAAGCACCATGTACTTTCAGATGCAGCACTAAAAGGTCTTCCTTTGCTCTTACTTTCTGTAGGCCATCTGCTGTGATCATATCATTCCAGCTCTTCATGTACTCCCCCGGAAACTTGTCCTTGATGAAGACGCCAACAGTCTTCCCCTCCTTGCTTGCGTGAACGGCCTCCAACATCTTCTCAAAGTTGGCCTTGTTGCTCTCGTTCTGGGCAGATGACAAAGCACTCATTAAAACGAGGAAATGCATGCAGCATAAGCACACGCTTACACAAACTAAGCGGCAAATACAGAGGTTTCATATCGGAAGTTATCATGGGGCACGCATGTCTTTAAAAAAAAAAAAAAAAAGTCTGATCAACTTCAGGTGATGTTTCCACCACAATCATACAAATGATCATACAAATCGCTACAAAATAACTTGTGGTTATGATGCATAATGAGATTTAAAAGGTCATACCTTCTCTCGAATAAGTAGGGTTATGGGAGGTACCCCATTGGCATTCTCATTGCCTTTTGTGACAGCCACCTGTTTAAGGAATTCCACCTTCTTCTTGCTGGCCATGAAGAGAATCTTAGACTCGCAGAAAACCATAATGGTGTCCGTCAGCTCATAACCAAAGAGCCAAGTCTGCAAATGAGGGAGACAGTTAAAGTCCAGTGCTACCAGTGCAAACGCAACATCTCTGATCACGTTTGCTAAATTTAACACTTCAGGACAATCAAGTAAAGCGGTTCCCAATTCAGACACCACAGAAAAGGTAACTAGCACTATCTGAAGTGGCGGATGGACTTACCTGCAGGGCAGTAGACTTGGCATAGACGATCTCCTCGTCGACTCCGACTGACACCACGATAGCATCCACCTTTCCAAATTCATCTTCCCCCTTCTGATATCGGGAGAACAACATTACAACGTGTTCAGACTCCTCTTCCACCTCGCACGTTGCTAACACCCTGGATATATACACAGCTGATCATTCTATTGAGATTAAACACATGCCCGAACTAAATAAAATATGACCGTGGGACACGATGCGCGATGAACTGAGAAAACTCAGCAGGAGCCAAACTCGATCACCAGCAGCTAGAAATCATTAATGATGTTATTTGATTGTGTTAAATGAACCCCTTGTTACATTACTTTTGACCCAGATTTATAGTACGTCACCACTGCTGCATTAACTCTATAGATTTGGACGGCAAGCTTAGCTCAACTTTTCGGACAGCCTACGAAATGAAACGTTTCTATGTGTCCAGACATTTCAGATCCCACACGATGGTGGAAACGGCGGATGGCGGGGGAGAAAACAACATCACGGACGATTACATCGCGTTGTGTTCCGATGGATGCACAGACGGCGAGACGTTTCGGCTAGTAGGAAGCGGGGCACCAGCGTGTCCGAGCTGGGCTAGCACGTTAGCTAGTTAGCATCTTTAAGAAAAACCATTTAAGAAATCATAAACATCGCTAACTACCGCTCTTTGTAACAGTGCGGCACATACACCACATGCAAACGCCTATCCCGTTTCACAGATGCCGTGCAGCCGGACAAACAGACGCGTTTAAGCGCCTATAAGTTAGCGGCAGGGTGATGACAGAGGCCTTCCCGCACGCCGACTCGGTCTCGCGCCGAGCCGCGAGCCTGGGAGCGGCACGGGGGGATTCGCGTGCTCCGCCATCGCCCGCCGTAGCATTTCCCCCCCCACCCCCGACACCTGTTCCCCGGTGCGGCCACAGCTTAAAGTCCCCATCTCTTTATTTCAAATTGGCGTCGTTTGCTATTTTACCTTCCAGTTGGCGTACAGCCGCTTGATCCTGCGGTAATACGCTTCCTTGTCTAAGTTTACCGCCATAGTGCCGCTTCCTCCAAACTCCAGCGCCCGGCTTCAGCGTAGGCCGGTTTTTGGTCCCAGAAAACGCAGTATATATGCCGCAGCTATATAATAACGCGCCCTTTCCGTAAATTTGGAAAAAAAAAATATTTATTTTTAAAGAAATTAATTTATTAATTTAAATATGATAATTTTTATTCTTCGAATTTTTTAAAAGTACCCCCCTGTTTAAAAATTTACATATTTAATCTATTGATGTTCCACAAATTTAGCATTCCTTTCGGTGTAATGCATAAATAAATCAAGTTGATTCCTTGTTTCCCACAAGTAGAACCACACTGGTACGCATACATTTATTAAAATTACTCTCCTCCCCCTGCCCTCCCCCTCTTCTCTCCTCCCATACTGATAGTTGTCGTCGACTAGACCCACTGAAAAAGCTATCTGCTATTCCAGCGACAGTGTGCACGCTGCATGAAAAGCTGCAGGAAGTATATTTTATTACTAGTTTAATGCCAAAGTATTTTACTTTTAATCTTATGTTTTGGTATTCATTGCATGGTTAATAAAAATTTCTGTGTCACGGCATGTTGTTCTTACTACGTATAATTTTAATTATTTATTGAACTTTGGTGCTTTTTAGTGAGCTCTGCCTTGGCCATGCTGGCTCTCCAGCTTCTCTTTTGTTTCGTGCCTCCCCGGTAGCTCCCCTCCCCCCCTCCTGCCATTAGCCAGTAAGACAGCACGCGCCTATTTCCCGCGCTTGGTCATGGCCCGCCTCCATTGCAGACATGGCCGCACAGACGGCGCTCATTTCGTCATACGCCATAAGTCCGCGGGGTTTCGCGAGATCCCGTTTAGCTCCGTTATTTTTTTTTTCAGAATACTTGTTCGGATGATTAGCGGTTATGGCACTTTCCCCAAATTGCATTGAGTCATAATGTAATATTTTTTCAGTTGGTCGGTTGTTTTATATTAAATCGAAACGATTCGAAATAAATGCAATTAAACTAAACTAGTAATTTACATTTGTACTTAATCACGCTTCTATACAGAACTGTAAAAATGACTTAATATTTAGGAATTGCACTACAAACTACAAAACCTGAGTGCAGTAATGCTTCATAACTAATGTAATAAAAAGAAAAAAAATATCCTCCAACATAATTTGTCCTCTAAGGCAAATATTGCACACAAATGGACTGCTGTTCTAATTCAATATAAAGACGGTAAACCTTGTCGTGAGCTGATTACACTAGCCGACACCAAATTTGGTGAATAATATCAAATGACACCCTTCATAAAGAAACATTTTTTGTATATTTAGTCTTGCTCCAGCGTGTCTGGTTTTTCTATTATTTCAACTTTTTTTCATATACAATGCATTGTATACCCAATATCATTTTGATACCATTCATATAAAATCACCAGTAACCTGTCATTGACTAATTTTTGTACAAACTAGTCAGCAGGGTTTACAGGCAGCTTGCAGTTATGTAAACTTACAGGTCTGCTTCTGCGGGTCCACTGACGCCGACCTTTGTATGCAGAACTGTGGTCCGCTTTCCGGTCCTGTCACTCAGTACTGGAAGGCGGACCACAGATAGGAAGGTTACTGAAGGGCAGTGTATTTGCAGCCAAAATGGTGATAGTGGAGAGGCAAGCCTGGGAAGAATTCCATAAAGTCGTTGATGGATTTCTCGGAAACAAGAAGTCATCTGATTATGAGATTCACGTCAAGGAGATATGTCGTTTTCAAGATCTTGGATGTAGAATGAGTGTCAAGATGCATTTCCTAGACTCGCACCTTGATTACTTTCCTGAAAATTTAGGTGAGTATAGTGAGGAGCAAGGTGAGAGATTTCACCAAGATATTAGTGAAATGGAGCGAAGATACCAAGGACATTGGAATGTAAATATGATGGCTGATTATTGTTGGGAGTCTGTACAGACAAAATCCTGATGCTTCAAAAGAAAATCATGCCAGAAACAGTTTCGCAGTGCTAAGTGACCAGCAAAGGCATGATGAACTGTTTCTTTAATGTAACATTTGCTAATTTATGTTGAACTTTAATTGTAAATTGTGACAAAACCAGACATGTGGCAGCAAATTGGAAGCCATATTCTGAAACCACATGAAAAACTGTAGAACATGCATTTGTTTTTGTTAAATCACCTAACAAAAAATTTAAAAATGTCGGCCGGTGTTATTTTTGGTACGTTCACTTTCCTTTCGGTGGACTAACACAAACACCACACGTAACTCGGCTTCCTGTGTGGTTCACATTCATCGCTATAATCGTATTGTCTTACACAACCATTCTTGACACTATATTCATAGATTTCATGCTACTCCATGATTTTTTATTTTATTAGGCATTCATTTATACTTCCTGCCTGTCCGCCATTCTGCAAAGGACCAAAAAAGAAAAAAACTGGAGATTTCTCATTTCCTAAAAGAAATTTACAGAATTTAGAATCCAGTAAACCAACCCAACCCCTTCTCCAATTCAGTTTAACAATTCAAAGTAATTCAACAACAACAATTACTGGCAACCCACCCCCCCCCCCAAAAAAAAAAACAACAACATAAAAATAAAGGGATAGAAGATCTGGATAACATTTCTTGCCAAGTGGTAGAAAACCCATCCGCTTAGGAAGTTGCCTGTGTGCCAAAGCTGGCTGGCAGGAATGTGTTGGGCACGAGGAGTGCACTTCTGGAAGGGGCTGGGTGTGGGGTATGAAAATCCATTTTAGGATGTAATGAGAATTGGCTGCCTTACACCAACAGCTAACTGTTGATTTGTCACCATTATATATTTAAAAAAGATAAATGTATAAAATATGCTCAACATGTCAGCCCACTGGAACAGCTCGATGGAGGGAGAAATACTGAAAATTAGGATTGTCTATTCTACATGAACTAATTGCTCCATCACCTTCATTCTATTCCTCTGACACTGACCGGTCTGTTTTTATCACCTCTCGCTTACATCTCCCCAATTTGCGACTCCCCCACCCCCTTTGGTCCTTGGTAAAGAAAACTCATTTGACAATGGTAGTGGAGCTCTGATTTCTAATGGAGCACCAGGCCATGAAGACATCTCTGAAAGGAGACAGAAAAGACAATCAGCATCTGGCACCCGCCGGGCACATGCATAACCGCGGTGGCTGGACGTGCGCATTTACTCACTTGCAGTGTGTGGCCACGCATTCGTTGCTGCAGTACTCGCGGTCCCAGTCTTTACTGTCCACGGGGGGGTTGGTACAGCCGGCGCGGACACATCGTCTAGGGGGTGCGGAGAGGGGCTCCTCTGAACCTGGAGACACGTTTAATTCCACTTCCATCTTGCAGGGGGAGGTGGGAACGAACAGGGAAAGAGGGACATACAAAGAGAAAAATATTCAGTTAATATTGTGTAAAATACTGATGATCAGGACACCACAAATTAAGTTTCTGGTTCCCCCATACCTCTCCTGAGGTGAACTCCTCGGTTTCTGCAACATCCTCAGCTGCAGAGACGGTGCAGGAAGTGACCATGGTCGCGGACTCCTCCACCTCCAAGGCCAACGTGGGGGTGGAGGCGGTGGGGACAGGCACAGATGAGGTGACAGGGGAAGCGACAGTCGCTGCTGCCGTGGTTACCACAATAGGTGTTGCCAGCTCAGCCTGGACCGGTGCAGGGACAATCTTGATCTGCAGGGGAGGGGGCGGGGTCGCAGTGACAGAAGTCGACACCCCGCCGCCGCGAGGCTTGGCCTGGAGGGGCGGTGGGGCAGGGGAGTGCACCATCTGCTGGAGGCGCGGGGGTGGAGGAGCATGCTGCATCTGCTGCAGGGGGGGCGGCTGGCGAGCGGCAGGGGGGGCTGCGGAGGGGGCGATGGCCGCCGGCAGCGCGCGTGCAGGGATGACCGTCACCACCGAGGTGGGAATCTGGTGGATCTGGGCGCCCCCCGCTGCCAGCACCTGCTTGGAGATTATGATCTTGGTGACGGTGGGGGGGGCCAGAGAAGGGACGGGGGTCTTGTGCGCACCTGTGCGCGAGCGGGTGGTGACCTGCGGCAGGTCCAGGATGATATTGGAGGTGCAGATGTTGGTGATGGTGTTCTGGTCGGGCGCGTGGTGGGGGATCCTCGTGGAGCGCATGGGGCTGGGGGCTGGAGGAGAGGGCGCTATGGGGGCAGCGGGCACAGCGGGCGTAGCAGGTGCTAGGGGCATGACTGAAGTGGGAGGGGGAGGAGGAGGAGGGGAAGAAGATGTGTCCATCACCTCAATGGATGTCTGTCAGAAAAAAAGAATGAAAACACAGCTAAGACGTCCACACAAGGTTTCAAATTTGCCTTTATCTTTCTCCAAACAGCAAGTCAGTTTAACGACTGACTAAACAAATATTACCATACAAATTGTGGTTATTTGTATGGTTAAGTTATGTGAATTAACACACCTGAAGTCAACAACACTTCACGTTCACTTTGTGTGTCACACTCACAAAGAATACGCACAAAGTTGCCCTCATTCCAACGAAATGGACTGGAAGCCACAGACCTGCGAGAGCTGATTTGCTCTATAAGCCGCCAGAGCTTTCAGATACTCTTTTTTGGCCGCCTCAGTCTTCCTCTTGTAAACCTGTGAATTATTTTTTTAAACAGTTATCGTGAAGATATCGTAAACACACACACCAACACCACTATCACGTGATTTCATCATGTGACTTCCAACAATTAATATTATCAATACCAAAAGTTATTAAAAAGGCTTCAAATTAGTTATTAGTTAGTATTCTTAGTAGTAACTAAGTATTAGTAACTTATTACAAACTGTCTCACTGTGCCTCAAAACAATTCAATTCAGAAAAACTGTAGTCGTGCACCACTAAATCACTGCACGTGTGTCTCTCACTGCACGTGTGTCTCTCACTGCACGTGTGTCTCTCACTGCACGTGTGTCTCTCACTGCACGTGTGTCTCTCACTGCACGTGTGTCTACCTGCTTCTGCTCCTCCCCCAAGCTGTCCCACATGGAGGCCACGATCTTGGACACCTCGCCGAAGGTGGCGTTGGGGTTCTGGCCCTTGATGGCCGCCTGCGTGTCCCTGAAGAAGAGGGCGTAGGCCGACACCGGCTTCTGCGGCTCGTTGGGGTCCTTCTTCTTCTTCCCCTTTTTACCCACAGCCGTCGTCACGCCTCCTCCGCTCGTTCCCGGTCCCATGCTGCTCACCATGGCCGGCTTACCCCCTCCGCTCCGCAAGCCGCCAGGGACAAGAGCCGGGGGGGGAATCGAGGAAGAGGAGAGCGGAGACCCAGAGAGGGAAGGGCTCAGGGAGATAACAGCGGGAGAGACGGACAGAGAGACTGGCGAATCAACCAGTACGCTCTTCTGGGAAAAAAGGGGAGGGGGAGAGAGAGGAGGAATTAGATCTCTGTGAGGAACAGAAATCTGCAGTTTTCCTTTTAGTATAATATTATTCTTACAACATGTGCAAAGAGCTTCTTATGCAGTTCGTCATGTTCAGACCAACGCGTTTCACACAAACAATATATTACTGACCTGCCGGAAGTCGTCCATATCATCACCTTGCAATGAGCCTGTTGGCGAAGGAGTGGCGGAGAGACGCTGGTCTGGGGACTGAGAGCGGGGCAGAATCGTCCCACCTCCGAGGCTGAGTCCCAGCTGGGCGCTGAGCTCCGACTGGTCAATAGTGGTCAACTGGTTATGGCCCAGAAGGCCGTGGTTCATGTCACTTAGTGGCACGTCGATGGTCATGGGGGAGGAGCTGCTGAAATGAGAACCAATTGATTGTCCAAGGTCCTGGAAATGGAAGCAAGATGGAATGGAAGGTCAAACATATCTTAAAACGCAAGTAACATACCCATCACAGTTATAAGGTGAGTGTTTGTCAGTTTTAGCCGTTTTAGCACGAGGTCATGATTCAAACAGTATTGAAATGCACGCACGTACCATGCCCAAGGTAGAGCTCAAGAGAGAGCCCGCTGCCGATTGGTTCATCACCCCAAGGGTCAGGCGCTCCAGACCCTGCGAAGGGGGGTTAACGAAAGTGGAGGCGAAGGAGGGATCGTTCCCCCCGACTACGGCGCTCCTCACACACGCCTCGGTCCTGGAGGGGTCGCCCGTCACGCTGCCGTCGGACAGCTCGGCGAAATGGCCCACCACGTCAGAGACGGCCAGCGCCGAGTCCGGGTCCAGGGAGATGGGCGGAATCTCAAACTCTTCATCTCCCAGACTCGGGGTGTGGAACGTCTGACGGGCAATAAACGGGCAGAGTGAGCGGAGGCAAAAGCACTGGACCTCAAACTGCCGATAACTGTAATTTACTGATTGGCATGAGGACTGGTGTACCATTCCAACATCTGATTTCACAAACGGAAACAGACAGAAGGTTATGTTTCAGCACTGTCTTTATAAAATAATGAAGAGCTTTGCTGATCCCAGGGTGGGGAAAAGTAACCTTAGGCATTATGTCACAAACACCATAATCAAAAGACTATTAGCACTCGTCCTTGGAAAAGATGCATAGTCCATACTCCTACCTGGGTGACAGTAACAAATCAGTGCAACAGAGTAAACTATTGAAGTGAAAACTGGCTCTAAATTCTACACGCTGCATTACAAGAGTCTGTAAAATACTGAGAGGCATGCAAGAAAGGCAGTCAAACCTCAGATGATGAAAGGAAGGTATGGCCTCCCCCTGAAATGGTCAAGTAATTGTCACTGCCCCCAGGAAACTGCAAAAAATAAGACATCTGAATGTTTACACAACACGTGGTACAGGCAGATGCTACAAGCTACGGCAGGTACAGGACCAGATGCAGGGAGGGTAGCCCGTGATTACAACTCGTCCTAATAGAAGGCATTGATGACATCCAGCTAAAATACTTTCAGATGTGAACAAAAATATCGTGTACAATATATAATTTTCGATAAATGATTCGGCAGAAGCATGAGGAGAACAATGTAGTGATGTACTGTGAGCTCAGAGTATAATATGGTTCCACCTTGTTCCCAGAATCGTATCCATTGTACGGCTGTGAGTCCAAGAATTCCGGGTCAGACTGCGGTGTCGTGCCGTCCGACAGATCAGAGTAAAAATTAAGATCCATGTTTCTTTTGTTTAAAAAAGTCCTTCCAAAATATGGATATTAATTAATAAAAGCTAATGCTGTGTCTGTCAAGGCCTTTACACGCGACAGAAAACGAATCCAAATCATCGGTAAACAACGCATCCACATACATTAATATAATGAACAATGTGTTTGATTTTCCAGATGAAGTAAAGCACACGGATATTCCAAACATCACGAAAACCGTTCAACAGCAACGCCTTCGCAGCCCATTATTTTAGCGATACGCGTCCCCATCCTGGCCGTGCTGGCTAGACACCTTGTGCCTTTAACGCATTGTTGAAAAAGGCGAAATGACACGCACAAAAAAAGACGGGACTAATCATTAAAAGCAAAACGATCACAAAAGAGGACAAACAAGTAAACCTGCCAGAGAGACGCAGCCCTTCCCACAACGCTAGCTTCGCATTTTCACAATTACCAGCTAGCCACCATGCCTTAACGTATCGGCTACTGCTTACTCAAGCCGAAAAAGATTATTTAACTTAATGGACTAGCAAAAAATGCATTGAGCTGTAAGGGATAAACTACCGAAACGCTATAAGGGTTAAGACGTCTCGTCTAATAACAATCATAGCTAGCGAGATATCGTTAGCCTTTGTAAACCAAGGACAAAACAGAACTACAATGACAAATCCTGTCCTGAATTAGTACTGCGATACATTCCTTTGGCGGACAATGTGTGATTGTCTTGAGAGACGATAAAACTTTAAACCAAACCCTGCGTCAAAAAAGCAGTTAACCAGCCACTTCCAAGGCATTAGTAACAGGCAGCTTGTTATCACATAGGATCTTCGCGTCCTCCGGCCATCAGAATCAAAGCGCTACGTTGGAACGAACAACACCGAGCATCGGGAGAGGTGACAACCGCATCGCCGGTTTATTCAGCGCATTTATCCAATAAGAATGCCGAGTATAAAACAGCAAAGTTTTTGAAGTATTGTATAATAAATACATAATAGCAGAAATTTTGAAACGGAAAATGAGTTTCGGGAAACCCAAAGCCGGCACATCCTCCCCACATCCCTCCTGCGCTGCCTCATTGGTTCGGCCCGGAGGCTGCTAAGTGCCGTGCATTAGATACTTAAATGTTGTTCATTGCTCACCCTGTTCCAATGGACGTTAACAGGTGTGACACATGTTTAGATTAATATACTATATGAAACAAATTATTAAGTATAGTATTGCGATTAAAATGCTTTTCTATACCGACTCAGCTATTTCCGATGCAGAAGTTATTGTAGGTGCAGTTAAATATCGCTCAGTAAATCTGCCGGGGTAGAAAATGACATCTGAATCAGCACGTTATTTCCCATGAAGGTCCGCTAACCGAAGATTTACCCGATCCTACACAATATCCAAAAGCCATGCAAATATGTATATGTATATGTATGAAAGAAAATGCAAAGAAATCGATAACACACTGGAGACCTCACAAAAAGTCATCAGCCAACTATGTTCAAAACCAGGCGCAGAAAAGTCAATCGTGACTCCGGGAACCAACTAGCAGTTTCAACGATTCCGTTTCTCGACGTCATGTAGATTAGTCAAAACGTTATTGGCAGGGCGGGATGGCTAGCAACTGCTACACTGAGGAATAACGTACAAACAACTTTAAAGGTAATTTCAAGATAAAACACACCATTGCCCCATAATCCAGTCTGGTCGCAAGCGTTTTAAGTGTTATGTTTGGCTGAAATGCGAGTTGACTTTTCGTCGCGATCTCATTTATTTAAAAAACTTGGATAACAAGCATACGTTTCACTAAATGTGGTGTTCTACTCAGAAAGGAGATTAATCATAATTAAAATCAAATGTCTGGCCTTTAACTAACCAGTCGATTTCTGGGAAATCTTTCCATTTTGTCTCCAAAGGTTTAAGGGCCGTATCTTTGTAACTGGATAGCTAATTAGTCCAAGCAGTCTGCCTAAGTTCATACATAGCACCTTGCAATTGGATGGGAGTTCTAGCTAGATTCAAATAAGTTTCAGTATATTGAAACAATTGTGCTCCGTGGCAAAATATGTGTTTATTTATATCTGGATTCTAATTAGGGTAAAATGTCGCCTTATATCCCTTTCTTACCTCCATTCTCTTCTCAACATAGACACGACTCCCTTTTCTCCTTTTGCTGATTTACCCAGCATTACACCATGGGAGCAACTTCCGGGGTTCCTCGCGTCTGCGGAAGGAGCGTCATGCGTCGTCACTCATTGCGTCATTCTAGCTGCCTCGTGTTATAATATTAGTGCTAACGTTTACACAACATATAATGTTGCTAAGGACAGAACAAATTTTGTAATCCTAATATAAACGTTTACAGTCTTACGTAACATTTACGCCCGAGGTCCATAGTAAATAACGTACGCTGGTCGAGAGATGCCTAAAAGCCGGTATAGTTGTGAGTGTATAGCTTAATGTAAACGGTGCAAGAGTATGCATATAGTAATGTATACGTGATGGATAGCCACGATATCTGGATATGCCTAAAGTGACTTCCGGCGTCCGGTGGTTCCAGACCCAAATTCGAACGCGAGTGTATAATAGTATTTATTTGTTCTCTTTGGGAAATTGGGTAGTTTTTAAGACGCATTATTCTCCTTGGGACACAGACTTGTATGTCATACAAGTTTTGGGATCGTAGCAGCGTCCAACCGGTACCACTGAGTCACACACGACGAAAAAACATTCCCTGACCGGGAATCGAACCCGGGCCGCGGCGGTGAGAGCGCCGAATCCTAACCACTAGACCACCAGGGATAAGTAGTGTACTTTCTTCATATTTCAATTTCAATTAGGTTTAAATGGAATTTGAATTTTCATTCCATTTGGATTAATTACACAATTAATTGTATGAGGATTTTCCCAGTTGCTGTGATATTGTGCTACATATTTGCAACCCTTCTTTTACCAAAAGAAATGCGGCAGGACTCAGACATATTCAATATATTATGGAAATCCTTTCATTTTAAGACCTATTTGTTAAAGTGTTTTTTCAGGTGGACAGAAATAAAGAACACAGGGTAAAACAAGTAATGAACCATCATCATAAACAGATTTACTAGAATAATTCCGAAACATACGCAGCTTCTATCTGTCATAATATTTTGTATGATTCTAGCTGGGTCACTTCTATTCAAATTTCCATGGTGTGAGAACTGTCAGTACACAAGGACACATGGTATGAGAATTTCTCATCACAAAAAGAGGCACGCAAGAAAGCCAATGGAGTCCGCTAAATCCATCTGTAGAATGTTATTTATATGTCATATCACAGAAACAGAGTCAGTTCATAAAACAATAACTCATTTTTTGCAAGCAATTCAGCAACTCTACATTGTACAATACACCCATCTTTCTAAATCTGGTTCAGCAATTAGCTCCACCCCCCAACCACCCACAACCCACCCTCACTATAACAGCCCTTGCCTCCAGCCAGCCTAATCCAATCAAAAACAAAAACATCTTTCTATATCAGAAACACACACAATGAGAAGACCTTTATATGTTCAGTCTGGCATTTGGCTCAACAGTATAGTCACACTTGGTACTAGGTACTTCTGTACAGGTCTCCACGTGAGGTTCAGAGGAAAGGGGTGGGGCAGTTTGGACCCTGACGGAACGGGGCAGTTAGTGTGCGAGCGACTTAATCAGTGACTACTGGGGGGGGGGATGGGGGGGTGTCGCCTTCAGGCACAGCCACTGCCACGATTCCTAATATTCACAGCTCCTGAAAGGTCTGCTTCCAGACAGCCCAGCTGGAGGGAGGAGGGGGACGGACAGAACAGGGGGAGGAGTGCTACACCTCCAGATGGGTAAACGGAGGGGGAGGGAAGATGCGAGATAGGAGTAAGTAAGGAGGTGGGTGTTCACCTGAAAAAAATAAACTGCTCATTTCCAAAAAACTATAAAAAAGTAGAAAGAACCAAAACTATCCATAATGAATCGACATTTATAATAACAATAATAATATAATAAAGAATGAAGAATAAAATAATGGGGGAAAGAAAAGAGTCATGATCTTAGGGGGAACGCCGGGTGGGATTAGCTTGGTCAATCCTCAGAGCTGGAGGAAGAGTCAGAATTTTTGGGTGCCATGATAACATCTTCTAATATAGCTGCCTCCCTGTCAGAGCTGTCGTATCCGCCCTGCGACAAGCAATCTCCCCCGTCCATCTCCAAAGCCCCGCTCTGCATCTTCACGTCAAAGGCCGGTGCCAGGAAGTGTCGGGGCGTCATGTTACTGCCGTCCTCCAGGCCTTCGTCGTCCATCATGTAGGCCCCGTCCGAAACCAAGGTCTCGCCTCCACCTCCTCCCAGCAGAGGGTCTTCCAGCTGAGCCTGGGGAGGTGGAGTGTAGAATCGGCCTTTTTTGGGAATATTTTCCTGGGAGAGGAGCCTATGGAAGAGGCTCTCTGGAAGAAAACCCTGCAGGAGTAGGGGGGAAAGAAATGAAGGTATAACGAAACGTGCAGAGAGTAGCTTTAGCGAGTAAACGAGTGCCATCACACGCAGGACGGAGAGCTCACCGAGCTGCGAACGGCCTCGGCCCACTCTTCTGCTACAGTGTAGCTGACATTTTCCTCCAGACACTCCCTCAGGTCCTGCAGAGGAACTCCACCCCCAAGCTGAAGACAGAGCAGACAGTTTATTAGTTAAAAATAACGGCACTTTACTGATCCCTTGTGACACACAGACACATACACAGGTGAGAGCAAGTTTGGCAGCGATGAGCTGCCAAACTCACGGAGCAGGGTGTTAAGAGCCTTGCTCAAGGGCCCACAGACGTGACTATTCTGCCAAGGCCGGGTTCGAGCCGGCGACCTTCCGGTGACAGGCACAGAGGCTTAGCCCGCCGAGCCACACGCTGCCCCGGTTAAGGAGGCCCAGAGATCCGGAGACTCGCTCCTCCCGGGCTCACGCTCACCTTCTTGCCCGTCTTCATGTCTATGATCTTCACTCTTTCAACACCCGTCAGCACGGTCAACTCCTTCACCTTCTCGCTCTTCTTCTTCCTCCTCCTCTTCCTCTGAGCGCGACTGCTGGCGAGGAGCTGGAGGCGGGAAGACGGCGTCAAGGCGCTGAAGCGGCCGGGCATCGTTTGGCCGCGACCGCTGCCCCGTCCCGCATCGCGGAGCAGACCCACCTCCAGCACGTCTCCTTCCACCTCGTACTCCGGGTTCATCTTCAGCCAGTGGTGCAGGTCCCTCCTACGCGGGGCGCTGTCACCGGTCAGGACCGCGCCCGTCACGGCATTGACTACTGGCACTGGACAGTCCTGCTCGGACAGCTGTCCCAAAAGCAGAACAGCAGGGATGACGTTAAGGACTCACCCCTCCAGATTACCTCTTTATTCCTTATGCTATTTACTGCAAGCTGATATTTGCACATGGTGAACAATAAAACATATAAATCATAATGAAATCTGGGTCAACAGACAGGTAATTAAAATATTCATTTTTGGGTCTATTTACTGTGTATGTGCTCCCCAAAATATTCATTTTTGGGTCTATTTACTGTGTATGTGCTCCCCAAAATATTNAAAATATTCATTTTTGGGTCTATTTACTGTGTATGTGCTCCCCAAAATATTCATTTTTGGGTCTATTTACTGTGTATGTGCTCCCCAAAATATTAATTTTTGGGTCTATTTACTGTGTATGTGCTCCCCATTGTTTTAGCAAAATAATGTCCAATTTTGGTACAAAATATACCAGAACGGTTCCTCTTTTTTCCCCATCCACTCTTAAGCAAGCACACGCGGTCTCAGGTTCCTCAGAGAACCGCAGCCTTTCCACAAACCCTGCATGTGGTTCTTCTGCTGCGTACCTCTGCGTCCCTGTGTCTCCGGCGGCTGCTTGCTTCTCCCCCAGCACCGTTGGGCAGCAGGGCTTGTTTGGAGAAGGTCAGCTTCAGACCTTCCTCCTGAGATATAAGGGTCAGGTTCCAGATGAGGGAGGCTGACTTCATCACCATGCCCCCTTCCCCTTCCCCACAGCCAGACCCCGGCCCTCACCTTCAGCAG